AACGGAACACCGAAGAGGAAGAAGTCCCGATGAATACTGACGACGAAGAAGCCAGTCTGGATCTCGACGAGGAAGAGCTTCATCTACAGCTCCAAATTCTCCAAAATAGGCGTCGGCGCTTACATGCCAAATGTAGACAGAGGAAGAGATTAGCTCAATCCACTACTCCTTCGACGACAGGGTCCACTTCTACTACTTCGGGATACCGGCCAACATCAATGAGATCTTTCCAGAGTCAACCTCAAACAGTGCCTATTGACCTCCTCTCCGATGACGATGAACCACAAGTCAAGGTGGAGGCCGACCATGGATCCGAGTTGAGGCCCGAATCAAGTCTTGGATCAACCGTGCCAGCTCAGGACGACACGACGATAACTAGTGTGACTAGCGACCTGTCAGAAGAGAGAAGCGCGCGCTTTCAATCTGGGGTCAGCCCGCAGAGGAGTATACCTTCCCACACAAGCCGATCCACGCCGATAGAGAGTGGTAGCAAGCATCAGGCGGCAGAGCAGCGAGCGTCGCCACCTCAAAAAGCGAGGAATCTAACAGCATCAGCACCGAGATCTCAGCCACAAATACATGATCCGGGAAAAGTTGTCAAAAACCCGAAGATAGTTCTCCGCGCAACCAGACCTAGTAAGAAGACTCCCGTAAGGACACCGGCTACTACTTCAAGACAAGGTCAAAAAGAAAGGAAGACTACTCCCAAAATTATGATGGCAAAATCACCTACAACGCCAAAGAAAAGGCGCCTCACAAAAGACGAGCAGCTTATACAAGAAGCAGAAGAGCTGCTTGAAAGCAATCCACCTTCCGATACATACCCTCAAGGTGTTCGAGCACGCCCTCCCGTAGGCACGTACCGTTTCGGCCTCACGCCGCAAGACACGCAGCCGCTACTAGCTCGCTTTTGTGTGCGAACTCTTGAGCAGATATGTACTCGTCTCCACGAGGAGCGACGACTAGTCACATATCCTGATGTCCCTGCACTATATTCAGCCAGCCACGACAGCGGCTATGCGCCGCAGAATATACATCCGTACAGGGGTTTACCGATGAGATCATTTGTATTATGAAGGGCCCGATGTTCGGGGGGTACCATAGGCAGGTTATTAGAGACTACCTCCACGCGCAGGAAGAGAATTGGGGAAGATGTTGCTTGGTATGTGATCAGGAACGGGACGACGAGAAGCGAATGAAGATTGTGGATGATTGGGCAAGGCTTGCAGAGGAGAGCTAGGTGTCAGCCCAACATCAGAAGAACATTTCAGTCTCGTCGATAAAAGTCCGTTGGGGAGAACGAGGCCCGACAGGACCAGGAAGTGGCTGTGACTCCGGAGGTGTGGTGATGGGCTTCGAAAGGGTGACGATGATATGGACTGCGAAGTGTTTGAGACACTGGTACCGCCCCAGGGCCATAAATGTGTGGAGACGTGGAGAGTCCGGAAGATAGAATTCCGAGCTGATACGTGTGATGCAGCGGTGCATTGGATACCACGAAAGGAAGAGCCGAGCTATGGTCAGATATGATATCCAAACGAAGGGCTTTGGAGTGGCGGCATAATTACTTGCATAGGATGCAAATGCTCTTCCCATTTGAAAGTAACCCATCTTATTTGATCCTTGGATGCGGATCCTTCTTGCTGGATCGTAATCGGTCCTGCCACCAGCTTCGCATCCCGAAGACGTTGAATCCCATCTGCATCAGTGTGTCCTTATCGGTGACGAACCAGTCTTTCGAGCTATGGTCTGCTTGGCCGGCAAGCGTGGCATACTTATTCAAGATGATATCGTCTCCGAATCTCTGCATGACGACCCCTCGCAGCAACGCGATTGTTCCAACCTCGGGCAAGAAGTTTCTTGCGTCGATATATACGGCCACCGTGATACCGGCTTGACGATTCGAAATTGTGGGGTCATGGATTTTGATATGCCGCTTTGGTGGGAACGGCGTATTGGCCTTGTGAATGATTGACGGTGAGACCCAGCTGACGACACCTAAAGCTGTGCATGTATAGCTCCGTCGAGGAAGAGCTGAACTGAGGCCGAGAAGAGAAGAAAGAGTGTGAATAGGTGCATTGATCGAGACTGTGGGTGGAGATTCGACTTTCATGTTGAGATCCTGCCTAACGCTGGCTGCAGACACTTCGTCTGCCACTACTGATGTGAGAGCCGGTACCGATGAGTGCGCGTCGTCATTGATCTCCAACGGACTATTCGTTTCGAGCTCGGAGGAGTCGTGCTGGAAACTCAATGTGTTCTGGCTGATGTGGTGAAGGGCTTCTCTCCTCTTTTCCATTCGTGATGGAGACACCGTGATGGTCTCGAAGGGATCTTCATCCTCATCGGACTGATCTGTATCGTCGCGAGGTCTTTTCCTGGGCGTAGACATAGTAGTTTTGGATAGCTGCGTGTCTGTCTGCCTCTTCTTGCGATAATTTTGTTCTGAGTTGCTGCTCTCGATGGTTCTCTTCTTCAGAGGGTTCATATTCGAGCTATGATCGAGGCCGGGTCCTCCCCCGGATGATCGCCTGGCTGTCTGCTTTGGGGGCATATCGATATCGATGGGATCTACCTCCTCACGAAGAAACCCTCCCTCGGACTCGAATTGAGATTCTTCGGATAACTCCCTTTCCACCCAGTCACAACTCTCGACACCAAGGTAAATCACCTTTCCGTGGCCGTTGAGACGGATAGCTTTCTTGACATTGAATTTCTTGAGCCTGATTAGATCACCCCGTTGTAAACCCAATAGCTCTTTCGTGTGCAGATGTCTAGCGAGTACAGCTTGAATCTGCAGATGTCCATCTGATACTGCAACGCGCAGACAGCCAGGGACAGACTTATCGGATTGTTTGCCATCAGAAGCATGATCATCATTGCCGTTTGGCTCATCTGCATCTGGGTTTCTATGGCTACGTGGCGCTTTGCCGAAAACGTGTTCAACCCGGACAACGGGATTTGGAGGTTGCACACAGGTGCGAAGTAGTTCGGCGAAGCATGGTTTCAGCTCTGGGGTCGCGGTGACGGCACGGTCGTGCATGCTCGAACGAGAGCATCTTGGGCTATGACAGGGTTCGATGGCTTGGTGTTGTCGTTTTACTGCTTGAATGGAACAGGAACAGTTCGATTCATCTGCATGAACTAGATGCAAGACGCCCTCGACGCGTCGCACTTTAACGCGTCTGATCTCCAACAAATGCTCTACGTCATTGTCCAACCAGCTTTCCACATTCTCACTTCCAAACTGCATCACATTAATCGCCGTTTGTATGCGTTCGCTATTGCCTGTTTCCTATAGCCGGCATCGTTTGCGAAGCTCCTTGCGTTTAAATTCCTGGCCAGCAGCACCATTCCTGTTCTTCACCCTTCATCAACCCTCGACCGTTCACGATGTCTAAGCAGGAGCCCCAAGTCGTCTCAATCACTGATCTCCCTTTGGAGAAAGCGAAATGGGTCACCCTCAAGAAGGTCGACTTTATTGACCAGACTGGCACGCCGAGGACTTGGGAAATTGCCGTCCGCAAGACCACTTCAAAATCGGGGGTCGATGCGGTGGCCATGGGAAATATATTTGTGCACCCCTCAAAGCCTCCTAGTACCATGCTGGTCATACAATATCGTCCCCCAGTCGGCAAGTACACTATCGAATGGCCTGCTGGTCTAGTCGATGCAGATGAGACACCGGAAGAAGCTGCAGTGAGAGAAATGAAAGAAGAGACGGGATATGAGGGCAAAATCCTCGAAAGTGGACCTGTCGTATCTAGCGATCCTGGTTTGACAAATGCGACACTGAAGCTGGTCATGATTGAGGTGAAGCTGCCAGAGGGGGAACAAAACATCATGCCGGATCAGAAATTGGATGAAGGCGAGCTGATTGAACGGGTCATGGTGCCTTTGAGCGAACTGTACGAACGCTTGATCAAGTGGAGCAAGGAGGATAAGTACATGATTGCTGGGAAACTATTCTACTTCGCTGCCGGGATGCATTTTGCGAAGAACAGCGGGTATGTGTGATTCTGGGTAGTGTGAAATACCTGGATACCAATCGACCTGGTCAATATGGATTTCTTCCAGTCCACAAGCACGAAGCCCTAGCTGTTGCATGCTGGGGCAGAACGAGGCCCTCACAATGACCACAGAGTCGCACGCTCGACGCCGGATTCGGGGCTCACGGAACATGCTGCGATTGTCGGATTTTCATACCCATTCGACAAGTATCTTGCAATTTGACAATGCAACATCTCAATCAGCAGCAGTATTCGACACGCCTCAAATTACCGCTCAGCGCTGTGTTATCCGGAAGGTCACTAGGTCTCAAATGTTTGATATCCGTGGATACCACCGTACTGGCGCCACACACAACGCAACGGAAATGAATCGCGGTGAGCACTGGGTGCATGTTGGATATCAGAGATGTGCCACGGCTCGGAAATTGGAATTTGAGCTATCAGAGGCAACCTGTCAACCGTATCATGGCGAACTTTAGGAATGAGAATTCGAGCGGACTCACAAGACACGGCGCACGATCTCCTCGAAGCCCTACCGTCATGAGCAGGCAAGCTCGAGGCCGTAGGTCCTGGAAATACTTGCAGATAGGAAGACAAACCTACATGGGAAGGCATATCCTGGTAGGGTAATGCCCCACTGCTCATGTTCAATATCATAGAACGGTACGTTCCTTCGATCACATACTTGCCGTTCCGCTTGTAAGCTGATATTCTGCTGTCCTCTTTCCGTGTTTGATCAATCACACACCTGTAGTAGCCACTGCTGGGTCCGTGGCGCCACCCCCTGAGCTGTCAAACCCGTCAAATCCACACTCACCGTCCCCATGCCTGAAACATAAGACCAACACGTATATATGTTTTGTTAACAACATTTTCGGTGACATTGAGACGATTGCAACAGCATCGTCTCATCTGCTCAGACATGCTCGTAAGTTGTCCTCCAGAGTTGTCTTCTCAACATTCAGCGGGATATAACTAACGACCCTCTCAGCTTTAACTCAGTTGGTAGAGTGCGACACTAGTATCGTCTACGCATATTGATATGTCGAAGTCACTGGTTCAAATCCAGTAGGGAGCATAAACATCCTACATAGGACTTCTTTTTTGCATTTTTTGTGTCCTGCTGGCTTCATCTCGTCTTGCTTTTTTGTTGTTGGGGGCCAGAAATGGGACAAGGTCCAAAGTGGGTGTGTACAGGTGTCAAAAAGCATCAGCCCCTTTTTTCCGCGTCAGATTTACCCGCGTACTCAACGGCAAGTCAACTACCTAATTTACCACCCTCGAAGCTGAGGTTAAGAAGATGCGATGATTACGGTAAGACTACTCTCCTACCACTGCAGATTCAAAATCGCAGCACTACTCCACGGCACATCCACGCTCACCACCCCATTCTGCGCAACCTGCAGGACTTCCCCCCTCGTGACATTGTTCAACATAACAGGCTTCCCCTGCTCCAGCTCGTAATTATACGAAAGCCCATCAAACGTGATCCCCGTGATAGCATCACTGCCATTTGCAATGAGTCGCTGCACGCTCACACCCTTGATATTCGCGCCCGACGCGGTAGGCGGCACCTGGAACGTGAACGATTCACTCGGTCGTGTGCCCGCCGTTCCATTCGTGGTGTTCCACTCATTCATCTGCACGATCGCAATGCGCGCCAACCGGCCGTCCACATACGCGGCATAAGCATTCTGGTAAGTCCTCCCCAACTCGATGTCCGCAATACTCACATTCGATGTCGTCAAATCGCCCAGAAACGCTGCGACCATGATATTGCCGTAGTATGGCGCTTTGGTCCCCAAAGTCTCGTTGATGGTCTGGATAGGCTGCCAACTGGCGTACCGGTAATTGGTGCCCTGGTGCATGTGCGTGCGTCGAATGCCAGTTGCGGCACAGTAGAGATTGAAGTCTACGCCCCAGAGGGCGGCGCCGAAGGAGTTGGATAGGCCTGGCGCGCCTTCATTGTATAGACTATTTGTTTCGCCGAGGATGTAGGGGATGCCCGTGCCGGACAGTAAACGTGATTCATTGAGGTGGTGGGATACGGAGAGTACGGTCGAGGTGTGGTTCATCAGGGTGCCTTGAAGGGTCACACCGGGCTGCGTGGCGCCGCCGATGTAGCTACGTCCGTTTCGTTAGCGCTAGGATGGATTGCAGGAGGGGACTAGGCTCACTTATGGCTGTCGATGAATGCTATGTCATTGTCGGTGTCGAGGCCGGCGTTCCAGGTCGTGATCAGATTGAGACTGTTGCCTGCCCCTCCGAAACTGGGGGCGTAGAACTTGAATTTCCCCTGGGTGATCACGTCCGGACAGTCCTGTTGGACGATCTGTCTGATGAGTCGGGTCTTATTGAGCCACTCTTCAACGTAGTCTGTTTCGTTCCACCAGCTGGGTCGGACTGGACCCTGGGAGCTCGTCTTGTACAAGTCGGGCTCGTTGCCCAGCTGGAAATATGCTAGTTTGATGGTGTCCAGCGCTTTGCAAACTAATGGCACTTCGCCGACCAGGGTGTCGTATCCGACTGAGCCGTTCTTTGCTAGGTTGAATCCATGTAGGAAAGTCACGTTGGGCCAGGTCGAGTAAGAGTCAAAGTACGATGGGCCGATGGATATTGTGGTCGGATAGTCCGCTGATCGGCTGAAGTTGAAAGTGCCTACGAGAGCTTGCGTCTGCGTGCTGTTGAACGTGGCATAGTCCCTGCGAGTTGTCATTATATGAGATGTTCGAGCCCATCATGGTAACGTACTGTGTATTTCCGCCGACTCTGATGATTGGATAGGATCCTTGAAGTTGTCGTAGGTTGGTCAGGAGGTTATATGAGAAGGTGTTTGGACTGCTCGAATTGCCTGGAGGGTTAGTACCAGGAGAATAGTGGTTCACACATCATACCTGCAAAGTCTGGGAACGAGGAGAACTCGATGGAAAATGACACAAAAGACTCGAGGATGGGCTGGCTAGCATTTTGCGGCGGTGTGAGGGAAAGAGGGATGGCGCAGAAGGCCAGGTTGACGAACAACAAGCATATTGAGAAAGTATACAGCGCTATCATCGTGATTGAGGGGAGGTCATGCTCAGATACTGTACCATGTCCATACTGATACCTCAGGTGTGGCGATTGCCAGCTTTTATACCTTGGAAGTTATGCTTTCCTCGACATGGTGACGGTTGCTTCCCAGCACTCCGCGTTCATGTTATTGTTCGGCTCATGTTGACCCGAGAATGTGTTCATATTGCGGGGAAACTTGCGAAAGCAACAAAATCTGCAACGATCGTGACCAGGTCAGACGCGGGGATGGAGTTAGAAACATCCAAGAAGGGCAGCTAGATGAATGTTGTTGAGGAGAACGGATGATGGCATTGATGGGTCCCGTACTAGCTCCAGTGTATCGGAGTTCTGGGATAATATATTCTCAAAAACTTTACGCCAGATCTAAGGGCTTGATGATCCTGCATCAACGAGATGACCACGTTCAAAAACGGCGTACGCTTCACTCGGATATCATCTCGTTACTGTTTCCAGAGACCCTGCACGAGGTACAAGCTTTATCTAGCACGTGGGTGGAATAGTTCTGAGACAAGCACAATGTCCCACACTACTATGGCTCGGTAGTATGAGCGGCATGAATTTCTTGGACGGCACACATTGCGTACAGAAACGGGCTGGATAATTATATTGTCTGAAGATCGTTGAGATTAAATCCAGGAACTCCTTGCGCTAATCGCAGCCACTCGAGTTAATTGGATGGTAAACTCGGCCAGCTCAATATTCCCAATAGCATACCAGAACCATCATTGGGGTATCCCGCTGTTCATAGCATTTAGCTCTCCTGGCTGGTGTCAGTTTTCGGGCCGATGCACGTCTTCGCTGCGGCTGCACTGAAAACAACAATTTGGCCGCCGTCTGGGCATCTCCTTGTACGCCATCGTCACAGCTGATACAGCTCAACCTCAAGAAAATAGCATTCGGTGCTGTCGCTTGCAAACAAAATCTAGTGCTGAAACGCTTTTTGATACCTTCCGTCGTCATAGTCATAGGTCGTGGCATTAATATTCAAGTTGCAGCTTTGGTGACCATGTCTCGCAACAATCAGCTACGCGGCGAAGCTTGAGCGGGTACAGCTGGAGACGGAGAATGACCAACAGCTGGTGCCGCTCCTGCTGGTGCTCCTGGAAGGGCTGCATGCACTTGAGCAGGTGTTGGATGTCCATGTTGTTCCTGTGATTGTGTCTGCGGGAGTGGCTGTTGGGCATGTGGAGGTGGTAGTTGTTGTGAAGGTGGTGGCGCCTGGGGCTGTCCTTGCGGTGGCGGCATCTTCTGTGGCTGATCAGGCTCTGGTGCAGCTTGCGAAAACTCTTCGATACCAGGCAGAATGCCATTCGCTGGGCGATCGACCACCATCTGACCACAAAGCACAACGTCGGCATCTCCCATGGGCTGCCATCGCACCTTCTTCAGCCTTGTCGCGATTGGTCTTCCAGCGTAATCAAACGTTGGGTCGGGCGAAACTGGTACTCCTGCTTTGCCGAAAAACGTCGGGGCAATGGTCATGATGACAGAGTCGATGACATGTGCATAGCGCACCTTCAGCAATTCAGAAAGGACGATGCCGCCACCTTCAATCATAACGCTCTTGATACCTTCGCGGAAGAGAACATGAAATACTCCGTCCCAGTTCAAGCCTCCAGATTGTGGGTGGTAATCGTTGATCATCAGATATTCGCCTCCATGCGCCTTCAATGTGCTGACAGCCATGGGATGTAACATTGCCCCAGGTGCCACCACGACCCATGGACCTTTTCCACGACCTTCGGAGGCAGCCTTGAGCATCTTCATCTCTGGGCGAATATGAAGGCGAGCATGCGGATCAATGATGATAGGTCGAGGCTGGTATTCCCTGGGCAGTCCCCCATAACCCGCAGGATTGGCGAGCCGACAGTTCAAGGCAGGGTCGTCTGCAATGGCCGTAGTAACACCAATTAAGATGGCATCATGGCAACTTCGTAGATAATGGGTCATTGCCTTCGTCTCGGGGCCAGAGATAGCGGTAGGGATGCCCGGTACTTGTGTGATGCGGCCATCAAGACCACTGGCCCAGGTAAGTGTGACGTGCGGCCGCCCTCGACTCGCGGCAAGTTTTGGGTCTGGTAGATATTGCTCAAGAAAACCTCTAGCATGCTGTGGGTACTGCAAGGTATCCATCTGTACAGGCGGTAGGTCAGGCCGGGCTGTCTCTGGCTTGCTCGGTTCTAGTCGTCCGAAAACACCAGGTTGTACAGATGGCTGAGCAGGCTTAGGCGGAGTTGCAGGACGCTGACGAGGTGCTCTTGTCTGGTTGAAGCCTGTATGCGCCTTCAGAACAGTCTGCTGATTTTCCTGCCGCCAGGCATACTGGACGTTCCGGACATCCGACACCTTCATCCACTTGCCACCTGCAGCGTGCATCTTGTCGGGCTCCTCCCACATTTTCCAGTAGATCGAGGCAGGCAAGAAACCTCTCGTAGCTTCCCGTCGTGCAGTGTCCATGATGCCCGTATTGCGCTTAGTTGAGTCGATATAGTCCAGATCATGGGAATGTTTTTGAAAGTTGTCGACTCCTCTGGAAATGGTGCAGGTATTGGCTGGGCCAGGGTTATAGACCACCTTCATCGTCATACCACAGGTCTTGTCATCCCGAATGCGCTTCTTTCGCGACTGCTTGCCCTCTGGTGTCGGCCGAGGGATATGGGGTTTTGCAGTCGTGGTCCGTCGTAGTCTGCAAGCATAGTACTCTGTGCGCAGGCTGCTGTCAGGTTGTTCACCCGATCTCATCTTACGCCAGATGTTGTCAACAAACGGATAAAGTGCTTCGAACTCGGCGACCGTAACCTCAAGAGGCTCTTCCAGATCAAAAAGTCTCTGGCGCATGTGCCCAAGGTCCGGTGGGTTTGAGAAGACACTGTAGTCGGTAGCCTCTTCAGCCATGGTGTATGACTTTCCATTCTGCAATGTTTGATCTCCTCCCGCCTCTTCATCATCGTGCATTGTGGTCTCATTGTGAGCTTCATCCTCGCCTTCGCTATCGGCTTGGTCGTC